ACCGCATTACACAGATGGGCGAGTTGAGGCTGGGGAATGCAGAGCCCTGGAACCACTTTCCATGGGAGGCCTCCCTCCCCCACCTGGACGAGGGGGTTGGGGAAACTCGGATCTCCCAATGCTCTGGTCCAGAAAAGGGGTCTCCCTTCCCCTGAGACCCCACAGCCTGGGCAGGGTAGATAGAACCCGCGCCAAACTTCTCAGCTTCCTAGTCCCAAAGGTTGTCCTGCTCCACTGAGAATCTGTGATTTAGGAGGAGTAAATCTCATACACTTGAAATCAGTGCTGTGGCAGTGAGTCCTTTTTTTACAAAGTTAATTTAAAAAGTTAATCTGAGTTGCACATGGGATAGCTGAACGTATTTGACTTAAATATTTATCCCGTTATAGATAAGACTGAAGCCCTGCCCTGCCCTTCCGGCAATTCCAGACTTTTCTTGTTGATCGAGGCTACCATAGCGCGGCCAGAGCAAGGCTGGAGGGGAACCTTACAGATTTTTTAAAAAGTATGCCTTTTATTTGAGACTGGTTTTATATTTGGAAGAAAGTTGCAAAGGTTGTACAAAGAATTCCCAAAGACCCCTCATCCAGTTTCCAAAGGCCTCCCCATCCAGTTTCCGCCATTGTTAACATTTAACATTATCGTGGTACATTCGTCAAAACTAAAAAGCCAACACTGGTCTGTTAAGATGAGCCAAACTCCAGACTTCATTTGTATTTCATCAGCTTTTCCATCATGTGCTCATTCTGTGCCAGGATCCAGTCCAGAGTACTACACTGCCTTCCGTGATCCCTCTTTGGTGAGGTTGTAGGTAATACAGGGCACTGTGTGTGTGTGTGTGTGTGTGTGAAATGAGAGTGTCTGAAAATTCCAGAACTTTTCTGGAAACTTTTTATTTTTAAACAAGAGGTTAGTTCAACTTCCAAACAATAACCTCGTGATCTTTTTCTTTAACCTCCAGACACCTTCCCAGGTTAAATTGAAAACTATGTATTCGTTCATTTGCCTGAAAAAAATGAGGAAGAAAGAGGAAAAGTCCGCAAATAAGTTCTTCTGTGAAGAAATGAATTAGTCTTCCAAAGTTGTTAGGCTTTTGGGGAGACTCTGTCCAGGGATGTTTTCGGATCGCACATTTGCTTTTTTCACTGCGGGTTTTAGTTTTGATGTCCGTCCGTGTTGCTGCGTGGAGATCTGATTCATTCTTTTGATCGTCTGTGTAGTATTCCATGTTATGAATGAATGGCAAGTTTATTTTTTCCCTTTTTATTCCTGTCTCAACTGATGGACCCTTAGGCTGTCTCCAGCGTTTTGGCTATTTCAGACAATGTGCTGTGGTCTTCCTGTGAGGCCTTCTGCTCTGTGTTCCCCCCGCCCCAGCCGATGTGGTGGCTATAAGCTACGTGGGTTCTGGGAAGCAGGGTCCCTGGGTGCTCAGCGTGTGGAAACTCTCAGCCTCTAGGAATAAGAACAAATTGGGTAACCGCTCTCTGCCTTAGTGTCTCAATCTTTAAAATGGGGATGCTGATGAGAATGGTAGTTGAGAATGGAACTTCTGGGTTAGAAGAAAGGCCAGTTAAACGTTATTTTAGCAAATTCTTGCTGTAATCCAGAGAGCTAATTTATCTTTGAGGGTGAGTCGTTGATTTGTGCACCTGGTGGCTTAGGAGGGTCAACAGTGGGTCCTAGGTAGAAGTATGGGTTTGGGGTCACTGAGCTCAGGGGCAGTTAGTTGGGTGGACCCTGGGGAGACCCCACAGGCACCCCAGTTTAGGTCCCAATCTCATTTTCTTCTCCTCCCATCTCAGCAAGGGGCACTCTTGTTACTCCCATTTTACAGAGGAGGAAACTGAGTCTCAGAGAAGCTAAGCAACTTGTGCAGGATCTGCCTGGATTACGCATCTGGGCTATAGGGATTTGTAATTCCCAGGAAAAATGAATTTCCATGCTTCCCACACATTTTACTTTTAATCTGAACGCTCAAAAGTCTTAGAACCACATGATGGTAAGATAGTAAGTTGCGGCTACTCCCAGATTCTTTTTTTTTAATGTTTATTTATTTATTTATTTTGGGGAGAGAGAGAGGGTAGGGGAGGGGCAGAGAGAGAGGGAGACAGAGACTCTAAAGCAGGATCCCCACTGTCAACACAGAACCCAATGTGGGGCTTGAACTCATGAACCGTGAGATCATGACCTGAGCTGAAGTCAGATGCTTAACCACTGAGCTACCCAGGCGCCCCCAGAAGATTCTTAAGGACAAATAATCAAGTGTTGGAAAAAGAGGTGGATGATGCTGATGCTGTGTAGACAATGAATCAAACCAGCAAGACCCCACACCTTCCTTTCTCCTCACTGACCCTTGAGGTAATGTTCATCACTCTATTTTACAGCTGAGGCCTAGAAGGGCTAAGCGACCTCCTTAGGGCCACACTGAAATTATATTCCCCATCCAGTCAGTTCCAAAACTCATGCTTTTCTCAGTAAAAAG